ACACACACACACACACACACACACACACACACACACACACACACACACACACACACACGTCAGTGTAACTGTAATCTGTGACTTCATCCTATCTGTGCTGCGTGGGTGTGTATTTAATACTCTATACAGGGAGTCTGTGCTAAGGTGGTGGCCAACTTCAGAGTTTCTGTGTGTGTTCCTGGTAAAAACCTCAGCATCTATAATTCACACACTTCCCTGTCACATGCAACAGCAATGGCAGCAATGCCACCTTGCAGTTTGCTCCAGTCGTTAAGCTAATAAACCTGCAATCAGCAGCTAAAGTGTTTTAGCAGAGGGCTCCTGTCACAGTCAGTAACACTCCTGACTCTGAGACAAGCTATTAGCAGAAAATGAGCAGCCAAGTCTGCAGGACAGCCAGGGGTTCGTCAAAATTAGCCTCATGGGACACGATTAGCTTCATTAATTTTGATTTTCTTAACCTTCCACAAAGTGTTGAGTACTGGAGCCTGACTGACATGGAGTTTTGGGGGCCGATATTTCAAGTAAAAAATGCACAATACTGATATACTTGAGGAAATATATATATGAATGGCATCCTAAGGTTTCAGTGCAAAATAAACTAAGACGGTGGAAGCAAAGGTATTCTTAACATGCTTATTACACTCAATTTATCTTACACAACATAAATATACAGCTGATTTGATGTTGTTAGTTTTTCTTACTATGTCGACACAAGATCAGCAAAGTACATTTCTGAGGTTAATGTTCCATTAAATTGTGTTATGACTGCACCATTAGACTACAGCTAAACAACCTGGTTGTTAAATATTCCCGCAAATTAGATCTTTGCTTTTTCTACCAGCAGGACAGAAGTTTCTAATTCCCCTGAGGGCTCGGCATCTGCTTGTTTCACTGAACACTGATGTAGGCGTTAGACAGCAGTCAAAACCTCCTGATCTGCCCGGCCTGTCCGGTCTGGGAGAGAGAGAGAGAAAGAGAGTGTGTGTGTGTGTGTGTGTGTGTTTTATTCTTGGCAGGACAACAGAGAACAAGTCATGTGAGATCGTAGCCCATTTCTCCCTACTCATTAAAATAATCACTCCTGCCTGTTTCAGTGTGTGTGTGTGTGAGTGCCCACTGTCAGGCAGACCTACATTCATAGCATTGTTCCCATGTCATTTGACATGAATGGCAGCTTGTCTTCGCCGAGCCAATGCACTGACAGAACATACATGTGCAGCAGAACCAACCACCCTGTGTAAGCCTCCACCAACCAGTGCAGTTTCCTACTTTTTCTTTCAAACTCATATGAGGTCACCGTGACCTTTGACCTTTGTATGCAATCATGCTGCCTCTTAAATACACACACTGTCACTCTCTGTGGCAAACAACAGCTGCAAGTGAATGTAAACTTGTCAATCTGCATATGTGTGGGTGTGTGTGTGTGTGTGTGTACCTCACTGATGATGCCGACGGCGCCGTGGGTTTTGGCCACGTGACCCAGGAGAGCAGGACACTGCTGTCCCACAGTCCTCAGCGCTGGCAGGAAGCTGACCAGCGAGGAGGGGCTGGCCTGCGACACGTCTACGAGCACGCCGAATAGCGACTCAGTCAGAGACTTGTCACAGAGATAACCAACCAACAAAGGCACCTGCGGGCTTAACATCTGCGTGGGAAACAAAAGAATAAAGCCTGATTTGTAAATGATTGATTATAACAGTGAGAGGTTCTGTCAGTTTGTGCTTCGACACGACGCAACAGAGGCTGGATGTGTGTTTGATGGAGGCTGGAGGTGAGAGGGGGTGGGGGGGGGGATCTTGGAGCCGGATGAGGAGCCTGGTGACTAATCACAAACAAGAGCTCGTCCATGGAACTGTCTGGAAAAAGTGAGTGAATGAGCAGTTCCCCCTCATTATCTAAACTGGTTCCACTGCACTGCAGTCCACTGACTATGCCCATCAGTGCACACCTCCTGCTGATGCTCTGAGTCACTTGTTCTGAACAATCATGTGAATATCAAACAGCATCTCCTCCTCAGGGGAGACAATGTTTGACCGCTGAAAAATGTAAGTTATGTAATATTAATCTTTTCAATACTCCACCACTTCCAGTGAGCAACTATTAGTACGGAGAAGATCTGGTAACTGCTGCGGTGAACGCTGTTACAATCACAACAGAAGTATTCTGTGCGTCTCTGTGGGGGGTGGAGATCAGAATAACTCCAGATGGCTGGTGTTTCTTTCTCCCAGTGCTTGACATGAGAGTGTTTTACCACAATGTGCTGTGTTTGCTGGTATGTGGTACTTTCCCCTCATGTTGTACATCAGCAGCTCTGCTCGAAAATAAGCAGGATTAAGGGAATTCCTGTTGAGAAATACTTCACATACACTGAGGCATTTCCACACTTATAACTACGTTCCAGTGGATTTTTTCAGTGTTCACATATGCTCAATACGGGATATAATAAAGTTGAATGGTAAAAGGTGTGATTAAGCTTTTACTCATGGGGAGAAATGTGAGGAAAAACATCCCCCACGTAGTTTGATGTGAGCCAATTATGGAAGGTTTCATGTTTTAGTTGGTACCGGTCTACAACTTCCTGTAACAGTTATTTTAAAGTTGAGGAAAACATTACTATTTGAATAGATTCAATGATGTTTGACGGCATCTTTAAAGGGACATTCATATTCGACTTGAGATGGCGAATTCACACCAAGATTTAATCCTAAATGTCGAGGCACATTCACGTTCTCACGGACACCGGAAAACCCACAAACAGCACACAAGCTCTAATCTAATTGCAGGCGCGAGGTGCGTGTTAGCATCGCTACATCCGCAAGCATCACTACTTCTGGTTGTGGACTTTTAAGCTTCAAACACGGTGTAAATGACCCTGTTTCGAGTCAAATTTGAATGTCGTGGTTTGCGGACACTTGGATGACACCACACAAGCAGTATGAAGGCGTATTATGGTTTTTTCTGATGTTTTATTATGTCTGAAGTGAAGGTTACCTTGGCTGTAAAACTGTTCACCCCTGAGACACTACTAAAGTGTTTTGTGGACTCAAACACTTCCTCCACCCCTCAATCGGCATAGTGCTGAGTAGACGAGTCTGTGAACAATCCCTTTAAGGGTCGACTTTGCATGTTCTCTCTGTGTCTAAGTAGGTTTTCTCTAGCTTCCCCCCAAAGACATGCTGATTGGGGATTGATTGATTGGTTGATAAATTGAATGTGAATGTAAGTTGTTTGTAACTATATCTTGACCTTGTGATACGCTGGCAAGCTGTCCAGGGTGTACCCCGACTATCGGGCTCCAGATCCCCCTAACACCCTCAAATGATAAGCAGTACAAATAATGGATGGATGGATGGAACAAAATATAGTCTGGATTTAAATCGCTGGCAATGTGATAAGTAGGGAAATTCACTCCAGCCATGTGCTGTGAAAGTGGATACAAGTGAACAGTTTTATTTCCCCACAGTACATTTTGTTTTATTTCTAACATACTACACAGAACTACACATGCAAAACGCACAATCACTCACAAGTGGATGTTGTTCTGCGACCATCTGAATGAGTCTGATCAGGTGCTGTTGCTCCGGAGACTCCAGCTGTGGCATCATCGTAGTGAGATTGCCTAGGTGACAGTGGATGGTATCTGGTTGTCTGGGGTAAACTGACGGCAACACTCGCAACAACATGTGGTTACCTGCCAAAGAGAGGGAGAAAGAGAGAGAGAGAGAGAGAGAGAGATGTTTTCAACAAGTCCCATATTTGACACCAATTTGTACGAAGACATTTGAGAACTTATTTATTTTCCACTGATGCTGGTTAACAGCCTACAACAAATCCTGTATATCTGGAGGTTCCAATAATCAATTCTAAATGTGGGATATGTTGAAACCTGAGAACTTGGAGATAAACCAAATGTTTTAACATGGGTGTGAAGGTGTGTGCTACAGAAAACCTTTACTGGGTAGTTCAGATCATAATTTTACTTTCTGCACTCTCTTCTAATCATGTTTGTCTTGACTTAGGTTTTTTAAAACTTGATTAACTGCTCATGTTTCTTGTTTTTTCCTGTCTGTTGCCACATTCTCTAATTAACTTGGTGACATTTTATTGCTAAGTGATAATCAGACCCAGATTGTATGAAAGTGAAATATCCCAAGAAGCTTTCTGTGGTGACGCTGTGACGTCACTGTTCTTCATTTCGCCCAAGAAAACAGGCACGGGATTCCAGGTTGAAATAAGACACAAGATTCCCAGTCAAAATTAAACATCCGTGTAAAGGACTAAAACTTTCTGCAATTGTTTTTTATGTTAAGCGATGCTGATTTAGGAAAAGCAGAAAGTCAATGCTGACTGGTGCTAAAGCATTACTTGACGTAAAGGTGTCCAAACATAAATACGTCTAAACCAGCCCAACAAAGCCCACGACTTTACCCAACATCTTAAAATGATGCATATCGTTGCACAAAGACTCTCTTTTTTAAGATTTCAATCTACGGCTTTACATCATACGGTGGAACCAAAAGAGAATATAATGTTTAACAGCAGGAACATTTCAGCGCTTATTATAAAAGTTGCCTACAATTTAAATTGACTGGAGGAAAGACAGTCTGAAAAAAGGAAGAAGGTGGATAAAATAAAGCATGTTCAGGAGAGGAAGGAAGTGAGGTAGGAAGGAAGGAGTTAGCAGTTAGCTAACATTCACATTCATTCAAAGCTCAAACACTGACAGTAAAAATGGGATTCCTGAAAACAAAATGTTTCAGGAGAATGCCCATGTGATGATCAAATGAAAGTGGACAATCGATTAATGTTGCGAGAGCTGCTTAGATGTGCTGCAGCTGTAATCAGAAGTCGATTGCTGTTTCAGTCAAATTCTGTGCATGTATCCACAAGTGGAAAATGTCAATTACTATGATTTAATCAACTGCACTTCTTTCATTTTCTATACTCACACTAAATAAATCCATAAATCCAAAAATGTTGTCCTATGTAACAGCAAAGTTGACTTTGCATTGTGCTGATATATGAATAAAGCAGCTAAAGAGAATTTATTTATCTGTCTGATCTAAACATGGAGCACTCATGTCATTTTGGATCAAACCTACATGAATGATTTAACATAACCTTAACCACGGGGTGTGTGCTCAAAGATGAGACGGCTGGTTCTGATCAACAGATCATCCGCTCTGTGCTGAAGGCAGAGGAGAGGAGATAAATATTTAGATACATAGTCACTGCATGGCTCTTCTTGTGTCTTAATCGTATATTATACTGCATAACGTTACACGACCACACCCCCAGTCCCTATGAAGCAAATCCCTATTAAAGGAGACAGATATAGTTGATGTACAGAAGGTGTGAGCTGGTAATAACTATAAAGCTGTGGCTGTAGCATTTACACGTCTGTTCAGAGGAATGTTAAAAGGCAGGAGGAGACGAGAGTCTGCACACGGACACACTGACAAGGATTTATAGAGCTTACCTGGTTTTAGCTGCCGCTAAATTGTACCCTCAGGCAACACAAGCACACACGCACACACACAGACACACCTAAACACACAAACAGGATGCATGACGCACACTATTTGTGGGAATATACTCTTGATCATTGATTAAATGTGTGGGCAGTGTCTGACCTTCATACCTTCATTCCAGTGTACAACCCCACAACATGACGTATACAAATCTCCAATAAATATCCTGTAATGACCTTTGATCACAAAGGCGACATTTTTGAAAGGTTGCAGGGACATTTTCCAAGAAAAAAAACAATCAGCTAACTGTCAAACTATTGTTAACTTTATGTGAAGAGGCAGGAAAGGACTTGGTGTCTCATTTTGGGGTGTGTGGGTTTTTCCGAATGTCACATTAGAATCCAAAGTATCATAAAAAAAATTAACCAATCCTGGATTTAACTTGGAATAAAAACCCCTTTGATAGAGCTGTTGGCAACCTGACTGTGTTATATTCTTTCTTTGTCCCCTCTACATTAAAATGTGGAATAAAACACTTCCATAAAGGCCCATAAAACAGTTTGAGTCATTGGGAAAATGATTTGGATGGATAGGGCTGTGGTGAAAAATAAAAAAATTACAACCCATAAAACCAGAAACACTCTTAACAGCACTGGGGTCTGTGTATCTACATCTTTCTGAGATCTGGATTAAAGATACACATGCATCTTTCATTTGACAAATTTTTGCATGTTGAATAAAAATATTTTTGACCCCATAGGCTGCGAACTAAAACAAACCAAAGTGGATCAAGATACTTTTAATGGAGGGTAAGGGACAGCACATAGAGTTCATGACTGAAGAGCAAAAACAAGCTTTTACACAATTCTTTAAAAGAGACTCATTTCCTTTCCAGTTGAAGGGTGATACTTAAAATAAATAAATAAAAGAATTACCACAAAAAAGCTGCATTCAAACATGCACTGCTAAGAATACAGCAGGAAAATGTCACGAGCAAGTGGGCGTGTCAATGACGTCTCTAACACTTAATGGGCGCAAAACTGAAAAAGACTTGCGATATCTCAAGATGATGTTGTTGGGAACGTGTATGTCCAACCCAAACAATCATTTCAACATATGTGAAAATGTCCAGACGTTTTCAGGAGTCTCAAAACGGCTGATGTCAGTTGTCTTTTCTCGTAGGTAACAAGGGATAAAGTTTGTCTTGGTAGTGGACCTATTAGTTGTCCTGGATGAGATATACAAGATATACATACAAGACTAATGTATATTTTCATTATGAATGAACCATTTGTTCAGGAACATTTCATTTATATTCAATATACTTCATCTGCCATAAGAAACTCTATATACACAGAACTCTTGTATCACAGAGGTTATTGTAAAGACAAAATCTGCAGAGATCAGCACATATGATTTCCAGTCACAATGTTTTTTTACAGAGCTTTACGACTTAAACCTGTTTTCTTCCAGCACTCGCTGCCTGGTTTTATGTCCCTCAAGTCATATCAGGCAGCTTGAGTAACCATCAGGTGGGAGAGGGCTGGGAGCAACTGTCAAATCAGAATGTAAGAGACAGGAGACAAAACTCATGTCTTTGGGATTCTGTGCATTCTTGGTGCATGAGCAACATCCATCCCCCTGCTACACTGTAAAAATCATTTAAAGAACTCAGGCACATGACTGCCCGACTTTTTGGATGGGGTCCAGCTACCAGAACTACTTTTCAACACTTGCACACATGACTCATATGTTTTGTGCATAAATATATTTTATACAGGCTGTAAATCAGTCTACACCATAACAGCCATCCAGATGTACAGCAGTGCATTACATGAATATATATCCACACACACGCGAACAGACAGTCAGATCTGCAGAGTGAAAATACAGTGACCATTCACCTACAGTAGTCAACTTCACCCTCCAGGCTCTTTCTGTTTCTCCATCCAATCTGACTCAAACCTCCTTTTTATTCTTCATCGTCAACAAAGAAGACACTTTCAGAGAAAATCGAATCCCAAAAAGACGCATGACACAGCCTTCCTGCTAACTGCTGATTCAGCAGAATGAGGTGCAGCTGTGAGGACGGTTGACTCATCTGCAAGCTTGATATCAAATATCAAAAATCATTGTAATATTTAAACAATAAAGGAGGTAAAGGTCTTTTTATTGCAAAAGCAACCTGTTAGCATTTTCCAAACTGATGGCACCATGTTCAAGTTATGCTTTGACCTCTTGGTGAAGTTTAGGAAAGTTCACTTCATGCTTGGAAGGCAGGAGAGGAGATGAGTAGCATCAGAATTTTCTGGATCTCTTCCTGCTGTATTCTCACATGGGCTCATTCGGACATTCTCCAGACATTATACTTGCAGACTGGCAGGAAAAGCTTCTGAAAATGTCTGGAGTAACCGACTCGGACATTTGCGCTTTCGCATACTACCTCTTGGGAAGATTTCATGAAAATCTGAGGAATTCTCTACATGTCTAAAAGCAGCTTTAGCTTAACCACCAACTTCAAAAACCAGTTTTGGTCAGTGACCTGCTGCTCAGCGTAGGTTCAATTTCATCTCTAGACAACTAATGTGTAACAGGATAATTTGAACAAAGAAATATCCTAATTAATACAGACAGAATGAACTTTTGTCCTGTAGCGGTATAATTGTAAAATCTGGGTCCCATGTGAGAAGAGTAAGTAATACAATTAAAGTAATATCCCCACTGGAAACTTGTGTACTTCTCTTTACCTCTCGTCTGTCATTAGTCAGTTTCTCCAATTCCATTTCACTGACTGTGTTGCACTATACAGTTCTCTCTGTGGTGGTAATAACAATACAGATACTGATCACAAGGTAGATGAAGTCCCGATATACAGTTATTATGTTGATCCCATGCATTGAGGTTTGAAGTCCTGCATGTGAACCATAAGCCCACATTTCATCTTGTGATACATTTATTTAAGAAAACGTACACAGTGTACAGAACATGCAAACGTGCTGTACTAAACTGTACATGCACACACTGAAGTGATTTCTTTACTGGTCTGTCAGGAGAGTATATGATGTGTCTCCTGCTGGCTCACTGCCATTCTCAGGTGACAGCCATAAGTAAAACAATTACACGCACGCACGCCTCCCATGTACCCTCTCATGTGTGCTGTTTTAATGTCTTTCTGATGTTAATTAAATATCATATGCTAAGTTGAGTGTTTCTTTGGAAGCTAAAAATAAAATGTTTTTTCAGCACAAAAGCAGCTTTAGTTCTAGTTGTTCATATCTCTCACAAACATCATCATTTTGGTCTCTGAGTCATACAGGGTCAATTATTTCCTTTGCAAAAACACAATTTTCACATATTTTCCACTTAAATTTCCAAGAACAATGGCTCCGTCCCTGTTTGATCTGCAGATGTCAATGTGCTCTCAATTGGAAGATTATAACCCGGGCTTTATCAGGTCGTTGTTGCCCGACCCTGCATCTTGAGTTATGAGCCACATGCCCTTCATCTCTGTTCCATGTTTTCACAAATGTTAACATTATGTACTGAGCAGAGAATGGTTGACAGTTTGCTTGTACACACTCACAGGGGGAAGTGAGTCAAATACACATTGTGACTGTTGTGAAATACAAATAACTATATACAATGTCGAAGCACAGTTTCAAACTGTCCTCTGTGGCTGAAGCTTTCAGGTTTGTTGTCCCTGTAAAGTACACATCTACGCCACAAGTACTAACTAAAATAAAGGGGTTCAAAAATAAGGTAAACTGACGACATAAAAGCAAGGATTATGACATGAACTGCATTTTCAGTTTTTAGATTGTTATGTAGTTTCTACAAGAACAAGTTAAAATGACTACTACTTCTTTAATTGTATAATATTACTACTTTCTTACTTTTACCAAAAAGGACAGCAGCAGCTTAGAAAGGTAAACAGGTAGACATGTGACAATGAAACCAAGCAAAAAAAAGTGTTGAATTCAGTTCGAATGGAATCACAGCAGAATAAACCAAAGTTGTTCTCTCAAGTGGTGATAGAGAGCTCAGGGAAGGTGCTCACACAACTGCTTCTCTCTTTCTGTGCAGCCTTCTGAATGAAAAGGTTCCTCCCAGATAACAAGTGGACGAGTGTGTGTTTCAAGAGGTGTTTAAATATGGGAGACAATGAACCAGAGACGCAGGCAGACAAAGGGCGGCGGCGGGGGGGTCCTAAAATCATTATTTCCAGACACACAAGTACATGCAAGAATATAGGCCCAGATGCACACACACAAACTGACATGGGCACACACACACACACACAGATAAATAAATAAATAAAAAGAGCAAAGCAGGAGAACAATACTGCCATTTAGTAACCTCTGACGTCTGGGTTCTATTCAAACTTCCGTCAGCAGACACACACACACACACACACACACACACACACACACACACACAGTCTCTGCATGGGGCAAGACATTTGTGTTCTGTGCTTCCTCCCCCCCTCCATTACCTCCTTCCCCTCCTCTCTCGTTCGCTCTGTGAGTCGCAGGAGCTGCAGTTGTATCTGATTACGACATACAGACTACCTCCAACGACGCATTACTCACCGCCTCGCTCGCAGCACGCAGATGGAGCTCTGCCTTTGCATTTCTGTCCTTGAAGCAGTGTTTTCACAAGGACGGAAATTTAGAGAAATTTCTTAATTTTCCCAAAAGCGTTCCCCATGTGTATACATTTGTGTAATAACTGTGTTGAGGGAGTTTTAAGACTGAATTGAATGACTGGGTTCAGGTGAGAAGGGTTAGAAGGGTCACTTATAGATTCACCTTAAATAAAGAGGTTTAGATAACCTGATAAAACTTTTAATAACCTGTCTGATCATCATGTCCTTTGAAAGTAGTTCCCAGATCACAGCAATTATTGTGGTGAGTTTTCATAACCCATAGAAGTGGAACTACACAAATAGAACCTCAGCTGTAATAAAACAGAGTTATCCTTTAAGTACATGTATGCAGGGATGGGGATTAAGTTCTGGAGGTTAGGACATTATGAATAAAGACGGTGATGTGTGTGTGTGTGTGTGTGTGGAGCCCCTATTTGGAGTATACTCAGCACTGCCGGGCTTCCTGCCAAAGGATTGCTCAGCATTTAACGAGAAAAATGAAAAAGAAAGATAGAGAGAAAGGGGGAGAGTTTGTGTGTGTGTGTGTGTGTGTGTGTGTGTGTGTGTGTTAAAAAGAAAGAGAGAGGTAGGGAGAGAGAGAGAGAGAAGTGGGATGTCACCCGGGAGGAGGGACAAATACTGTATGAGAGAGTGAGGGTTGAAAAAGAGGGTGGTGGACCTGCAGAGCTGGACAAAGTGAACCAGACTGAGAGAAGCAGCAGAGACAAAAACACACACTTTGCCAAACTGACTGCAACCTTCTATCACAACACACACATAGAGAAAGCAGTATAGGCTGAGGAGCAACCTAAAACTCAACAAACACACACATTTACCTCTCTCTAACTCACACACAGTCAGCAGCAGCATGTTTCGGTGGAGGCTTCCCCAGGTAGCGTGTGTACTCTCAGTGTGTGTGTGTCTGCTTCTCGCATATGAGGATGTTATCGAGGTGAACTACGCTGACCCCTACTACAATGAAATCACAGAGGGAGACGCACTAGAACGTAAGTATCAAACTGTGTGTGTGTGATTGTGTGTCTGTGCTTTATCTGATTTAGATCCATAGATGAACATGGCTGCAATTTAATTAAACCTGGTGTGCGTTATCAGTTTCTTATATGATTTACTGATGCGTTTGCGCAAGAGGTGAAATCAGGGCATCGGATTCAATATGCTTACAGTGGAGATGCATTAAGACTGAATGCTCATATCACCAGAAGATGAGATGGAGAGGAACACATGCAAACCTATTTACACATGTATGAACACATGTGATCTATTTACAGGTGGCCTGCAGTTATAATGTAACCAAACACGTTTAAAGGTTAGCGGGTTGGGCTGGTGTTCGTTTACTGACAGTTTATTGATCGTGTTGCTGCTCTTCTGTGAGAAATTCAAGGATGATACATGTCTGGTGTGTTCATGTGCTCAACAGGCAGCTTTACACAGACAACAGTATAACACAGTGAGATAAGCAGCGTCAAAGAAAATGCTGAGCCAGAAAAGCAGAGGGATGATGCATATTACAGCATGAATGACTGGTCACCAAATTCATAAGCACTTTGTCTCTTTGAAAAGCATCATTGTTCTTCTATGTGCATGCTTGGACTTCACAGTGTGTGTGTGTGTGAGGAGTGTGAGAGAAGATGTGAGCGTGTGCATGTTCTTCACCGGCCGCCCACAGCCGGCATTAGTTTGTTGTTTTAAATCGGGTAGTTAACAGGCAAGAGACTGCGCCCCAGGCCTGTGATGTAATTAAATGTCATTGAAAAAAATGAGAGTGGCTGAGAAAAGTAAAATATAAGCAGATGATTTGGGGGCAAGAGGGACAAAGAAACACCAGATTCATTACTGGCGTTCAGGACTCAGGAGAAAATGTCACGTCATGTGAGTTAAGTACAGTGTGTGTGCAGGTGGGAGAGGGAAAGACAAAGGTCAAAGCCTGGAGGAAGAAACAGATCATTGCTCAAATCTGAAAAACTGTGAATGGAATTTAAATGAATGAGGGCAACACGAGAGGCCATGACAGTTCATGTTGGAACGGCAAGCACGAACAAGAAATCTTTATGGGTAGCTTAAAAAAAAGCCAATGGAGGGCTGAACTGTGTTTGGTGAGTGTGCAAATTTGAGTGTGGTTAAAAAGTGCTGTGGGGCTTCCCTATGGAACTAGCTAAAGCTAATTAGCACATGAATTATGTAACTGATGTTATCATCGTGAATTTGCATATTTATAACGTCATTGAATCATATTTACATTGTGTCATTTAAGCTCTTTGTCTGTTTGCTTCTCTTGTACTGTCTGTGATAAAAAGTATGTAATATTTAAATATATCTGAATTTCTAATACCATTCCCCTTTACATGATTTTCTGACAAATTTAAAATTGTGACTGTTGTAAACTTCCAAATCTTTTCCAAGCTGCACCTCTGCACTACTGGTATCCCAATGTTACAAACATAATGCCATCTGACAAATTTCCCATTTAGAAAAATTACAGACAATGGCTGTGTTGTGGTTATAAGTAAATTCCAAATGATCAGAGTTAGAGGTCCAATCATGTCTAGTTTGAAACTCTTTCACATCTGTGTCAGCTGCCGCAAGGTCCTTCCATTAAGGAAGAAAAGGTCAATTGAATGCATTGAGGGGTGAACTTGCAGAAAAGGGAAATGGAATGGTAAACAGACTAGTCTCATCAAAGCTCTTCACTCTACAAATTTCAACCATGCTGATGAAAAACCCATCAGGGCCAATTTGAGGCAATTTGATGCAGCAGCCACCCCCACAGTACAACAGGGTCAAAGATCCAAGCAAATGAAATCATAGTCTAAAAAGGTCTCTTTGCACTTTACCTGCCCCCATATCCATCACAATCATTCATAAACCACAGTTTCTAGTTTTGTAAGTGAGAGGGAGCAGAGGCCACGAGCGTTAAATTTAAACCTCGTGGACAGGCAGCCAAAACAATTCCTGCCGTCCAGTGATAATACTTCTGCAGAATAACTTTGAAGGTATAAACAGGCTCACTTTTAATTGGAACAGTGTGTCTGACACATATTCTCTTTCCTGGATTGGTTTACCCAATGATTGTGTTAACGTTGGCGACAATATGCTACCCAAAGTTGTGGGAACAGTTTCAAATGAGGCAGATTTAGACTTTAAAAAACCCTTGTGAGGAAATCCTCCTGTAAATAAATGTGGCAGAGGCCCTGCAGTGATTAAATCTTATGTTAAAATAACTTGAATCTTTCTCCCTCTCTTCCCACAATTCAGCCACACCGACTTCTCCGCCCTGCAGTTCTCGAGACCTGAACAAGTGGGACAAAATGTTCTCGATGCTGGAGAACAGTCAGATGAGGGAGAACATGCTGCTTCAGTATGCTGACGATATCATCAAGGTGGAGATGGGGTCACTGCGTGGAGAAATGCTCAGGTTGGTTGGACAAGTGAAGGAGAGGACAGAGTCATTCGAGATTTCATGATAATTGTGCTATTGAAACTGTATATTTCTAAGGGCAATGAGCACTCAGATATCAAGATTGAAATTAAAATGAACTATGAAAGTTTACAAGGCTGATCCTCGATCTGACTGCAGCTAAAGAATAATGCACCACTCATTTTCTGGATGCATTGATTAATCCTTTGGATTAGAACATTAATCACATGTTCCTATAGTGGATGGTTGTGTCTTTAAAGGTTTATGTTATATTTATTTATTCAACATAGAAGATGAAGAAAACCACAGAACTTTCAAATATGAGATGCTGGAACCACTGTTTTTATTGCAGTTTTTCCATAATCTTTCCTAAAAAGTGAATTGATTATCATAATGTTTTAGTAGATTATTTTGATCCACAAATGGATAACATGACATAATGTCTGCTTTACTGGTATCCTGAATTCATCCTGTCACTTAAATATCAATGGTTTCAGGAGTGAATTGGGGTCGAATATTGATTACAGGCCAAATGTTGTCGCTACACGTTGCAGTGGATTAAAGCTTCAGTATATATATCTTAAATTGGTCTATTTGGTCAGGTTTGTAGCCCAGTACGGGGGCACGTGTGGGGTTGCAGTGGAGTCAGCAGGAAGAAGGATGGCCTCGCAGCTTGAGGCCCGCCTCAAAGAAACCCTGGAGCGCCTCAAAATAGCAGGTCAGGCTTCTGCTGCCGCCGCTGGGAATTCTGTCGGGGATCCCAACAACGTGGAGTCGATGCTACAGCAGCTCCTCTCTGCAGCACGAACACAAGCTTCCCGACTCACCAAGCTGGAGACCAACTGCTTCAGCAGTAGTGCAACTGGAACGGGGAGGAATGCGAAGTCGGGATTCCAGCTCGCAGAGGACGGAGGGGCCGGGCACCGGGAGCAGGAGGTCACGTCACGAGAGGTGGTTCTAGACGGAGTGCTGGCTGCACTGCAACAGACGAGGGCGGAGCAGGAGGAGGTGCTGAGGTCACTGAGCCAAAGATACCTACCCGCCGGTAAAGATATCCATCTCGCCATCGGCAATATGTGTCTGTCTTTACTTGCTGCTGTCTTCACCTTTCTCAGCAGTGCCACCCAAACAACCTTCCGCCTTCAGCTTTTTCTCTGTGTTGACATATTCAGGTCACGCTTGAAGTAAAAGAATGAGCCCCCCTCTGTCGGGCCTTGTTTCTGAACAACTAATCATACAGGTTGTGTTCGTCCTAAATACCTCCTCTGTCTGTCTCCATGCATGTTGTCCTCCTCAAGTAGCAACACACGCTTTTCACTGCACTTATGACATCAATAATATTAGTCTCTGTCAGTACAGTCGGACAAACATGAAGGAGACAGGCATAGGATCAGCTTATTGGTTCTTATTTATGTTTGTTTGAAATGAATTCATATTTTTTAATGAGTCCTGAAGAAAAACACTACAAAAGATGATGAAGGACGAAGGACAGACTATAATTGAACAAAAAGATTAAACTTTTAGCTCAGGAAAGAGTTTTAAAAATAATAATTGAAGCAAATAACAGCATCAATAATAATACACAAATATTATCCTTCAGCACGTCTTCTACTACAGCTGATTTACTCTCCATTAATACATTTATCTCTGATGACGAACTGTGACTCTACAAAGTGTGATTAAATTAAACTGGAGCAATTTGAGTCTTACAAAAATACCACTCACATCAGTTGGAAATCATTATTTATATAAGTTGATCGAAATAAAAACTGCAAAAAAACATATCGCTCACACACACACACACACACGCGACGCATACACAGTCTGGCCTACATACAGAGGTGTAATCATTAGTTGGTTGCAACAAAAACCACACCAAAGAACCCTGGGAAACTAGAACCATATGGAATCCATCATGGATATGCAAACACATGCATGCACACACACACACACACACAATTATTTTCTGAGTGGCAGGAACCTGAGTCAAATGTAACAACAATATTTGGGATCTCCTGTTTTAGTAGTGAGGGAGTATGTCTGCTGACTGGAGGGAGAGAGAAATAGAAGGAGGCAGAGGAGGGCTGACGGGAGCTGATGAAGACTACATCAGAAAAATGGTGAAGGAGAGAGAAAGTAATGGAGAAGAAACATGACAAAGACAATAATGCAAAATAGAGGATAGAGGTTGGACATCTGCACAAACACATGGACGCTGACCAACAGGAAAACAAATGAAATGAAGCAGAACAAACCAATGAACCAGTTGACCCCAGAGAGGGGAGAGTGTGTTTGGCATGAAAAAAAACAAACCATGATTCATGATATCATCACCTGACCGCGAACTGAACTTAGCTTGTGGGATTCCAATAAGTTAATCAGAGAGTATCACTAACTTGAGCTGGCAGTAGCTGCAGTTTGAGGAACTTTATATTAATCGGTTGTGTTCAACTTATACCATTGGCAATGGGAATTGAGCCTCCTTCCTAACATTTTATGTGGAGTTCAACAAGGTGGTTTTCTCTAAAAATAGAACATGAACACAACAACAACTTGGGGACATTAAATGTTGAAGAATTCACATTCTCCAGTTGCATGATCCTTACTTACATTATTTTATATAAGTTCTTAAGTTCATTGTCAATGTAATTCATATAAAAGCTGACATCTGTTCTAGGACGGAGTTGAATTACATACAATATACCCGTAAACTTAAAACTTTAAATTATTAGCTCTGAATGTAAACCATATTCCTAAACAGAAATTCAACGTTTTCAAATTTGCTCATAAGCTTTAAGCTATTCCATATTGTCAGGTCGTCCGGAATATCCAGCACACCCTTAAGAATCAAACTGAAGTTGAAATTTTTTTTATTTCGTGACAATAAATATTATTATGTCTTTTTCCTGCACAGGCTGTGACATGGCGCTCCTCTTCCCAATGCGTTCCCGTCGTATCTACACTGCTGTCATGCCAGAGGTTCCTCTGTCCATCTCCTCCTTCACCATCTGCATGTGGTTAAAGCCAACAACCTTCGCCAACAAAACTGTGCTCTTCTCCTACGGACACCGTCGCAACCCATATGAGATCCAGCTGCTGCTCGGCCAAACCTCTGCGCGCTTCACCATCGGAGGAGAGGCTCACCTGGTGGAGGCGCGAGGTGTGGTGAAGCTGGGAGAGTGGATCCACTTGTGTGGGGCCTGGTCCTCCGAGCAGGGTCTGGCCACCCTGTGGTCCGGTGGGAAAAGAGTGGCCTCCACCCCCGGAGTGGCTGAGGGACACATCTTACCGGATGGTGGCTCCGTCCAGCTGGGGCAGGAGAGGAATGGCTGCTGCCATCAGTCTCCAAGCAGCGGGGGTGGCATTACAGGCTTTGAGGGAGGGTTCGATCCCAAGCTGGCATTCGCCGGGAAGATGACAGGAGTGAATATGTGGGACAGGGTGCTGTCAGAGGAGGAGATTTCCCAGCTGGCTTTGCAGAAGGGCCAGGGCTGCGAGCAGAGAGGAAACGTGGTGGCGTGGGGCATGACGGAGATGGTGCCCCACGGAGGCGCTCAGTTCATCTTCTAACTTACTCTTTGTGTCTTTTCATCAGCGCCATAATGATCATCATCGTGAATATCAGCAACATCATAATAAGTTTTCGTGTTAAAAATGAAGAGAGCAGCTTACATTGCTTTTATCATCATCATCATCTTTGTCCATGAGGTTACTGGTTTGATTATTATGTTGTTATTAGAACTGTTTTATTCATCTCTATTGCTATTCATCACTATTGATAGGAACACTTATGATGCAATTTAACTCTACTGGACATGTTCCGATGGGAGGAAACCAATGCTGTGAGAGACTGAAGTTTATTTTTGTAACATAACCTTTTGACCTGAGGCCACACACAAACAAACACACACATGCTCACACTGACATAACTTCAGCATAGAAAACGTGCAATGCAGCAGGAAACGTGCTGCAAGCAGTATTTACCAAAGACTTAATTAGACTGAGAGACAGACAAAGAGTCTATTGATAAAGTGAATGGGTTCCTAGCTCGTAAACAGAGTAATCACCAGACTGCCACGCAGGAGAGGAAAACGAGAGGTCACAAACAATTACAAGAGATTGTCTTTAGAGTGGCATGCTTGTTTGTTTTACGCAACAAAGTATTTTCCTCCTTTCTATCTTGATTTGTGCAGTTAATCTCAATATCGATGCAAAACTTATTTCCCTTTTGCATTTTACTGGGGAACATTAATATATTTTTAGTTTTACTTTTCAGTCATGTAGGTACATTAAATAGCAGCGAAAGATTGACTGTCATTTATACCCCCATAACCACTAAAAGCTAAGGTATCATGCTAATGCATTAATGATGTATTGTGATGTAATCTGTAGTACAACATGTGATTTACGAAATACTCATGCGACTGAAAACTGCTGTACTTGCTTTCACTTCAAGCCTGGCCATATACTCCAGAAATAGCTTCAAATTAAATATTATTTTTTTATTATCATAATTTTCCTGCATTTGTGAAAGTTTAGAACATTTTTAGGATCTTACATTTTCAAACATGCACCCATCAAAGTGTTTACACTCATACGAGTTATGTAATTCCACTTCTGCTTTGATTCTTTATTGTCCTTAGTTCTCATTTAGGTTTAGGGTAATATATATGTCTTCTTTTTTGATACTGCATAAAGTAATAAGAGTGAAACTGTTGTCATTGGAGATTGAGATTGATTTTTGAGATTGATACAGTAACTGAGGAAAATGTTTACACAATCTTGTCTTTTATGAACTAAGTCGTCTTGTATTATAATGTAAATTTCTTTTTGTTTTTTGTGTAAAGGTGATATTGAATGTATTTTGTACATAAATATATTTTGCATAACAGGAATGGATGAATGGAGAGTGAGTTACGAATAAACATTTCAAGCTATAGCACATCTCCCTGGGTAATTACTGCTTTTGTCTGTGTTTGACTACTTGTCATTTAGTGTCTCAAATCAAATTCATAAAAGTGATACATACTTTAACACACTTAAAAATGTTTTTGAGCTGTTAACTAAATTATAAGACTCTTCTAATCAATTAATGCTGGTTTTAAAATAAAATGAATTAGAAAATCTATAATAAATCTATATTTATGGGTTGAACATGGCTCATAACGACACCTAGTGCTTCAATCTTGGACCTTGCAGGGCCAATGCCTCTCTACGTTATGCCATTTATGTATATATGACAAAGTTAAGACCCTCTGATCAGACTCCCTGGCCACCAGCAACTTCTCGTGAATCAGGAAAGCCGTGCATCAGGTCTATGCTGAAACAGCACCCATAAACCTCTGGTGTAGGTAGGCATGTCTTCACCGTGTCTAAGCCCCGCCTCTCAGTAATGTCTTTTTCTTCTTTTCAATGACTTCAGCCAAAACTTAGTTAGTACATGTACATGCAGTACACTGTATACTCACTGGTGTAGTGTGTTAATTAAATTCCCCTGATAGAACATGGCTACTGCACAACCTTTATGAGACCATGATTGTGGCCCACTTAAAGATCTCTAATAATAGTTTGTCCCAGTTAATGATGTCTTTACATTATTAACATCATCATCATCATTATTAACAACAAAGCAACATCAAAAAGAGAAAGAAGAAAATCTAAATTCTAAATCTACAGCATTGTAGACTAAGGACACGTCATTAAGATGCTGCCATCTGTACATAAAGATGGACAATGTGTCTCACTTCCTCACACTATGTCTTAGCTGCCAATCATCACACTTCACCCTGTTTTCATAGCATCAAATAACTAAACAAAACCTATCTTACCAGAAAAATGATCATCTGAACATTCATCAGTGCGATAAGAACTACCTAAAATGGCAGAAACCCTCGACCATGTCCCATCCACTAACATGGAGGAGGCAGGATTTATGATCTCCACTGCAGCCAGCTACCAGGTGGCAATCGAGAAGCTTTGGCCTTTATATACAGTCTATGATTAAATGTTTATTATACATTACAACTTTAATGGTATAGAAGTAGCAGGCATGTTTTTCCTGCTCACATATGTTTATAATTTGCAGTGGCACATTATGCTACAAGCTCATTAGTGACATATAACAGGTTTCTCCTGCAGCTACAACCAACTGCACAGTCTCCAAAATGTCTGTGACTTGTTGCGCAATGGTCACCTTTCACACTCACCCTCACTCAGCCCCACTCGCTCCCCTCACCCTCTCCTCTTTTTAACCTAACAATTTAAAGTACAGTACCTACATGTGTTTTGCAGCAAGGGAGACATCACTCTGACAGACGACTCTGACACATTCCAAACTCCAGTGTTACCTTCAGATCAGGTTTTACTTTGAGAAGCAAGGACCTCATGTGTTTAAATCTCTGTGGGGTCAAAGCAATGCCATATTGTGAGTGTGTATGTGCTCAACAACTACTGATCGACAGATACATGATAAAAATACAACAAAGTACAAAAGCCCATATGCCAACTAGAGACTGGAACCAGAGTCTGAGCAGTAGTGATTGGGTGATGGAGCTTTGGTGGTGAGGTTCCATTGATACACACACTCAACCAATAATTCTCACCTGAACATACATTGGTATGATAAGAGCTACCTTAAATGACAGAAACAATATTTAACATGGAGCAGGCAGGATTCAAGACATATACTGCTGTCAGCCACCAGGTGGCAATTGAGAAGCTTTGGCTTCACTTTTGGGGAGCTGTCATGTCGTCCATCTTTATATACAGTCAATGGTGCCAAAACGCTGCCTTGCAGAGAAAAGAGCAAGGGTAAAGAAGTACTGGAGTGTGAAGTACTGGAAACTTGGAATTCAAATCTTCTCCCATGGGACAATGCTGGGTGATGGTGTGTCTCAGAGGGAGGAAGCCAAGGGAGTCATTCATTTCCTTAAAACTACAGGTCTGCAGTAAATTGAAAGATAAAGGCCTTAAAAGTGCAAAGCAGTCATGTGGACTCCATTAAAATGTGAGCCAGCAATGCATAAAACTGCCTAGTCAGCTGGAAAGAAGTAGAAGAAGAAGAAAAAGTTGATGAAATTAGTCAAAACCAGCATGTGACAACAACCTCGGGTGTTAGTAAGAAACCTTCCAGCATAAACACACATGCACAATCCATCCGTCCAGCTCGCTCATGTAACCAACCATCCCCATCATCATCATCATCACCCATTACATCAGCTCACTTCCTGCTGAGAGATGGTCATCTAATGTTGATCCAGTGAGCTACGTGTGTTCAGCTTTGTGTTAATGCTGAGGCTTCAGAGGGACGTAGAGACAAGTAGCAGGTCCTGGCTTCTTAAAAAGGCAACAGGAGGAAGAAACACTCAGAACACAGCAGATCAGCAGTGAGCAGCAGAGGGGGGTAAAAATATTTGAAAGGCTGCATAAAAGAAAACTGCCCAGGGAAACATAAATCTGATCTCGCTATAATAAACCCTCCAGCAAGCCTCGTTCACTTTCATCCTTTCTCCACTCTTAGTGTGTGTGTGTTTTTGTGTGTATTTGTGACATATTCCGGCTTTAATAAGGCCCCCCATCACGATACCCCCCCAGTATCAAGCTGGATCAAAGCCACTAGAAGCTTCAACGCACATTTGCATAGAATTTTCAATCCGTCCCTTCTTCTTCTCCTCTCACCCTGTCACCGTCAATCTCTCATTGACTCTTTCTTCTCCATTTTTATCTCATCCCTCATACAGGTACAAACAAGGACAGTTTCCAGTGTGCATGAGTTTCTATAGTTGCCATATGAGGGATTTTATGTGAAAGTGACGTAAAGTTATTGTAAAGGAATTTCAAGGTCAAAGTTTTTAAAAAAACCTGAAGATGGAAGGCATTAAAATGACACACTGACGCAACCCAAGACTGACTGACTTTATTTACTTCTTTAGTCTATAAAATGAACAGAATTTGGCGTTGACACGAGGCTTGTAACAGTATAATGACAAACAGCCCAAATATTCACATTGTTATTTTATACTTCATTAGTCAGAATCTAAGCAGAAACAAGACAACATTGGACAGCTAACCATCATGATGTCTGAGGTATTACTTTGTGGTAATGTCTTAGAAGCCAACTGGCACAATAAGAAAACAAATCAAAAAAGGCAGCGAGTTCTCTGACTAACGAACGTGCAAATATTTCTTTCCGCATAAAGCCAAGATGAACGTTAAAAGAAATAACCGAAACTGATTTTATTTCATGACTCTATTTCAAGAGAGATGTTATGGTGTTAGTCATCATTCACCAGTAGTTAGAAGAACTGCATCTTAATGTGCTTCCAACATCAGCATCCAGCCACACTGATTTGTCTTTTAGTATGATATAATCTACTTATGTTGTCCTACTGGCAGGGACGGATTTGAGTCTCTATTTTCACCCACAGCTTTATAGACCAACTATCTGATGCTCTGATTCCAGAACCTGGTTACACTTGTAAAATGAAGCTGAGAGAGGAGAGCTAAGTTGTTTCATGTGCTGATAGAAAATGGTGAAAGCGTCACCATGGTGGGAACCTCATTCTGCGGTTGGGTTAGGTGATTATCACCACATCCTAGTCTGTGTGTGTGCTCTTGTATAGATATCTTTGTGAGGACCATTCTGAACCTACAACCTACAAAGTGAGGACATTGTTGCCGGTTTTAATGGGCTGTTTCAGAGACTTGGTTTTAGGGTTAGAATGAGGTTTAGGGTTAGGGTTAGGCATGTTGTTTTGATGGTTAGGGTCAGGGGCTAGGGAATGCATTAAGATAGAACTAAAAACGTGTGTGTGTGCGAACTAGTTAACTTTAACAAGTGTGAAGAAAACATGTTTCATGGATCAGCTTTCTTTAACCCAGAAGTCAGCTGGGCTCCTCTCTTTGACCTTAACTATAAGAAAGGAAAGATGACAAATGTATTGATCAGTGCTAAATGCACAAATGTTTTTTTGACTGTGTGAGTGTGAACAACCTAATTTAATCTTTCTATTAATTAACATAGAACGTGTGGACGAGATGGAGCAGCTGAAAAAGAAAATCAACTAAATTGTGAACATGTGAAAACACATGTTTTATATTTTCTGATCAGAAAGAGAAGAAAATAGAACCAAGTTGAATAACACACACGTTTGTGCAGCTATCCTTATTGGGACTTTGCATTGACTTCCATTCATTGTGGACAGCACACACACGCACACACACACACACACACACACACACACACATTGAACTGTTAACTTAAACCTTCCTCCCATATGAATACTCTACGTTTGAATTTCCATTGTGCGTCATAGTACCATGAGGAAAAAGATGATCTGTAACAGCTGCTATTTACAGTCATTATCATCATCCTCGTGGAGCTGGCAGTCATTATAACACTACTCACTAAGGCTCATGATAGGATAAGACTGGTGGTCCGCTACTAAAACTAGTGATTACATGTGTAATTCCTCTTTCCACTGCAGTAAAACAGTTCAGCCCATTGTTGCAGGTTTTGCTCACACTGAGAGCAAACATGAACTATTTCATCGAGACGAACCCACATGTCAACTATCAACACTGATCTAAACGAACACGATGCACTTCAATGCTTTTTACATACACTTTAAAATCTCCGTAAAAGACACGTGCACACACGTCTCCTTGAGTGTGTAACAAGGTCTTAAAGCTTCATTTCCTTCTTATAACAGCAACAGTTATTGAGGTTTGTCAAGACAAGGATTCAAGTCTGTTTATGAATTTGTGTGCATGATAACATTTGTTTGCCCTACCTCCCAGCACGCTGACTGTAATGGCCTCCGTGTGCTCGGCCAACAGATCAGCCTTCGCTATAGCAGCCAGTGAGAGATAACTGGACATGTTCCTGCTCAGCTCCCTGTTCCCTCTCTGGAGGAACCGTACCGCCACCGGCACGGCCAGCACCATGACCGAGGGACAGCTGTAGTTCTGAGGAGACACAAGCAGAGAGGAGGTTGAGGGGACAGCAATAAGCAATATGTTGAAGGGAAGGAAGGAAACACGGTGAACATTAAGGCAAAAGCGTGACTTGTGTTAAAGGGGTTAAAACAGAAAACTGGTAGAGTTTGGTTTTTCAAGTCCTCACGCTGCGGACACAGTATTGCACCACACTTAATTACCTGAAGGAAATGTTTCGAGTGTAGGAGTATTTTTGAGAATAATTTTGTAATGTTACGTGAATGACGATGTAACAGTACAAGAATAACGTCATCATTTTACGAAAGTCGTGATTGAAAAGGAAATCATAATGTAATGAGAAAAAAAATTATGGTGTTACAAGAATAAAGTCATCATTTAACAAGAAAAAAGTCCAATTAAAAAAACATTTCTTAGGAAATAATCAGCAAGGAGAACATGTGCTCTTCTTCTGGAATTCAAATCTTTAATCAAAATCCTTGTTTCTTGAGAAACTATTACACCCCTTTGAATAGCACACAGATGTAAACAACAGTATCCTCACAGGTCACCACTACCAAACATTTCCTCCTTCCACAAAAGACTACGTCTGTAGCTCTTTCTTTGGAATAGAGACAGTTTCTTGCACAAGCTTTTCAAAGTCCTGAAAATCATGTTAATGTGATGTATAAGTATTTTGTTATTTGTGAAACATATACTAAAGTATAACTTTACTATATGCTCCTCATTCCTCATTTCAGTGCATCTGATATCCCCTTCTAAAATGACACATACCCTAAAATTATATCTTTATTCTCGCAATTTTATGACCTTATTCTCTTAAATTACAACATTTTTCTCATAATATACAACTTTTTTCTCATAAAAAATAATACTTTGGCCCTAATGCTCTGTTGTTGGAGCACATGGACACGGACAATGGGAATTTTGCAAAGCGAGCAATGGAGTTGCAGATTAAATGTAGAACAAAAGGACACTTAGCGACTGTATTCATGGATGGCCCCGACAGAAACAGAGATCCAGTTCTTTCCACTTCCTGGGTTTCAATATAAAATAAAGGGAGAATAACTTCACAGTACAAGACTCTGTTTCCTATGAGCTACAAAGTCCAAGAACACCAGGGGGTGAGGATAACCATCCTCACTAACTCTGAGACATGCACTGAATTGATTTTTAAGTAATTTCAAACCATAAGCAGTTGCAGTAAGCAGCACATGTATAGGTACATTGAGTACCAGAAGAATTAAAAAAGGTTTTTATGACTTAAATGATTTGGATCGACTGTGTGACTGAAGTAAAGAGAGGAGTGAAGGAGTGTGCAGTGCATTTGAGGATGCAGACCCTGGTGCAAGTTTGAATGAAGCACAAGAAGCAGAGGGTTTGAAATGCACTAGCACCCTCAACTGGAGAGTCAGATATCAAGTCTGTTTACTGCCCAGTAATAATAAAAAAAGACGCTTATTCTAAAGCCCCATGGCAGTGATTACATAGGTAGAGTTTCTCTTAAAGTGTGAACCTATCTTCTGATATGTGCAGGGTACATCAATAATAAGTGATGATAGTTGCTCTCTAAAGATATTATATCTTATTTGTTTTTTATCTTGTGTAGCCACTTTCAACCTCAACCATCCTAATTGACTCCAAGTTAAGAATACCCAGGATGACCTGATGTCTACAGTTTACATTTTAGAGAGTTCATCTGGTAGAGAAAATAATCTACCTCACTCTCTTTTTAATATTCATTCTCTTTGTCGTGCCTCTAGTCTACCACATGATGGCAGTACAGACAGCGTATCCACAAATAAAGTTATCATCCACCACCTTATTCATTATGATGGCCCTAGTTTTTATCTAAATATGTATAAATAATTACACATTTAAGTGAAAATCAACATTTAGAAAAAGCCTTGGAATAATTGTGACACACAGAGCTGTTATTATTGGGAGTTTTGAGCTCTTTGTGCTATAGTTTACTTGTGTTACATGACAGGTACTGTACATAGTCTGAACACATAATATAGGCAGATGTCATTTATGAATGAACAGATTTATTTATCTGTCCCATCTCTCTTTCTTTCATCTTAGCAGGAATAGTCACGTCAATGTCAGGCACAGCACAGATCAAAGAAACAAATAGCTCATCTTATCATAAGCCAGAATTCTGTGTGTATCTCTGTGTGCTGCAGACAACTTTTCTTCCTACCTGCTCTCTGCGGGAGTTTCAGCGGAAGGGTAAAGAAGAGTGTTTGCGCATCTGTAGCTTCAAAATGACAGGAAGACAGAGAAGAGAAAAAAGAGAAAGATGAGGTAAGAAAGAAGAGGCTAGATGATAAAAATAGACGGAATGAAAGCAAGAAAATAAAACAGACGGAAAAAGGAAGCAGCGACAGAGAGAAGAGAGGGGAAGTGCTCCCCTGATAAATGTTGGAGTTAGGACATCAGAGCCAGAAGCTGCTGTCAGAGCTGTCAGACGTTTTAGTCTCACCTCTCTGTATGTGCATGTGTGTGTGTGTGTGTGTGTGTGTGTGTTCTCCTTTTTGTTGCCTCTTTAGGATCTTTTCCAGGATAAACATTGACCTTGTCAGGACCAGTAAAACTCATAGGGGCCAAAACCTGATCCTAATGAGGCAAACATTTCATTTCTGAGGTCCTGTTTAAGGTGAGGGATATAGATGTGGGCTTTGGTTAGGTTAGGGTTAGAGTAAGGCATGAACTGGTTCTGGTTTAGGTTATGGATAAGGTTTTGGTGAAGCTGTCCTCAGTGAATGGAAATCAATGCAAAGTCCAAATAAGGATAGCTGTGAAAACCAGTGTGTGTGTGCGTGCATGCGTGCTTGCATGTGTGCAAGTACGCATATCTTTCCACAAGATTCAGTGTGTCACTACGGTGGTAATAAGCAACAGAACAGTAACTAGAGAGAGTACAAGATAGAACGAGTGATGGTGGAGGAGAGAGAGAGAGAGAGAGAGAGAGAGTCCCTCTGCTTTTAAGCCTTTTAGCTGCAGAGGTCTGATAGAGAACTGAGGCAAGATTTGATTTACATTTTGAAGCCCTTCAGCAGTGATTACATAAAGTGTATTTGCTGGCCAAGGCAGAAATCTACCTTTGCCTATGTTGCATGATGTAACATTAATCAGTGTCCAATGTCCAAGTATCTACTGCTACTTCAGAATCCCCAGAATACCTTTCAACCTGAGGATAACTGTTAATGTTTTAAAAGAGTTCAAAGACTATAGCTTATTATCTGCATTGTTAAAAAAAGTATACCAGAGAATCGAGACTAAAATGCATTAAGAAAAACAAACTTCATTTACTTGTGTCACTAGAGGTCCATAAAGTAAAACAATAATAAAAATGCCTAGTTTGATGACGTTGTGAAGCAGAATAGGATCATGGGAGTTTTTGTCTTCTACCAAACTCGACTAAAGCATAAATCTTGTTCAGGGGAGAGGTTATGTTTTGAAGTTTTATGCACGTAACGCAGCAAACTGCAATGAATAATCACGATCCACCCATCCTGGCTAGCTGGCTTACTGCTAGCTGTGTGTTCATCCTTAGTCATAGTCTATGACATAGAAGTTATATGTGAGACGGGCAAAGCCACAGGTTCAGCATCTCGTTACCTTGAATGAGAGACTTCTCTGGGTTTGAACCTTGTTGGAGACATTTTGTATGATGTCGGTTCACAAGTCAACAAAATATTTAACATAGCTCTTGTCATTTTTAGACATTTTAATAAAGAATTGTCACATATATCTTTAAACCAGAAGTTCTGGGGCATCTGATAAGATACAAGGTTTCTCACACCTCCCACAGACGACATACAGTATATGTTGTATGTGCACTTTATGCTTCTGGAAAAACCGATTAAGGAAGAATTTGTCTCTGAGGTTCACCATTACACAACAATGTCTTCTGTGTGTGTGTGTGTGTGTGTGTGTGTGTACCTGCAGGATACAGCTGGTGATGTCAGAGGCTATCTTGGCGTGTGGCGTGTCCTCTGTGTTTTCACCTTGTGGCATGAGATTATGCTCCAGACACGACTCCCACAGCCCCACCAGCGCCACACTGTGTCGCTCGATGGAGCTCGTCTCCCTTATGGCCGTGGTGATGCGCGTTATGCAAATCTCTACAACCGCCTGATCGTTGTCATTGGTCAGATAGTCCTGTCACCCGGCGGACAGATAATAGGATGCAAAATTAAGGAGACAATGATATATGAAGGGTACAAAGATGAATTATGAATGAGATTATAAATAATGAATGAAACAGACATTTGCTCTGTAATATTTTGGGTAAATATCATCTATGTGTGTGTTGGTTCTTCTCGTGTGCTCACCTGTGAGCAGGATATGGCCTTGATCTGGTCCAGAGCTTGTGACAGACAGTCTTCAATCTCTGCATCTTCCAGAGAGAAGAGATCCCCCGCTCTGGACAGATCCCTTTGGCCGAGCACCTGACTGAACAGCGGGTGCATCCTGGTCCTGGTATAGAACAGACCAGTTTGGGACTGCTGCTGCCCAGTTAAAGGCTCCTTTATTGAATATCAGTAAATCCCTGACATCATCACATTAAATCTTCAGGATCAGGTATGAGAGCAGGACCAGTTTGTCCCAGTGTGTTTCTGGGTCTGCCCGAGTCCTATTACCATGGAGCCAAGGCATGTTCTGGAGGAGTCATTCTTTTGAACTTAGAGTCCTAAAGGAGGGAGGTGGAAACACAGAAGTGCAAGAATTAATTAAGTAAACATTAATTCCTTGATAAATAAAACTAAACAGAAGTAAATGATTTTGTATATTTGTGAGAATTGTATGGATACTGTACAGAAAGATTCATCCTGAGCAGCTGAAAGCCAGTGAGAGATGCCATTCAAAAAGTTGAATTTGG